AGAAATTTAAAAAAAGTTTTAAAATAATTTGTTTAATTCATTTAAAATAGCAATCATAAGCTCATTACATGTTAGCATCAATAACATTTTTATGAAAACTCCTATATTTTCCCAAACAAAGAAAATGTAATAAAGGTACCATTGTTTCAGACTTTTGCATATCTCATTGTTTGATGTAATGAAGCAGCTGGATTCTTGTGCCTGCTTCTACATTCAGTCTATTGTGATGTGGTATTTTGCTTGAAATACATGAAGAGTATCTCACCTCACACAGATATGTATTTGGAAAAGGGAGGACCTGACAGAGCCTCTGTAAGAGTTTCAGGATTCCCAGGATGTTTGGACCATACTTTGAGAATTGCTTTAGACTTTTATTAACAAAAGAGGTTTGATTGGATGGGAATTCTAACAAACAAACTTCATTTGTTGTTTTCTTCTGTTGATTTGCATTTCCTTCATTTTGTAGTACTATGTTTCTAGGAGCTCTGGTAGTGTAGTGCCTAAGGCACTTGACTGCTAACCAGAAGGCTAGCAGTTCAAACCCACTCCTCGGAAGGCGGATGGGACAATCTACTTCCATAATGATACTGCCTCGGAAACCCAAGGAGGGGTTGCTATGAGTCGGGTACAACTCGACGGCACAAAACAACAACAACAACCATGTTTCTAGCAGCTTTTTTGCTGGCATAAAGACATAGGTACTGGTTTACTAATTCATTCTCAGTGTCATTAATCAGCTTCTTAGGATCAGCAGTTAGTCTAGAGGTCAGTATCCTTTTTTATTCTCTGTAGTGGGGTAGAAGTGGGTTTTCTTAGTCCAATAGTAATAGAGTATTCTCTGAATCAGTGCAACAAAACATATCCTATGTGGAACCTCACAATTCTGGCATCTTTTATGATTGGTAAGGACACGGAGATTGAGGAGGGGAAAAGTGGTGGGGTGGTAAAAGTAAATGCCACATTCTCTCTAGCTTTTACCTAAGCATTGGTTCTTTTACTCTGTCTCCCCTTCTTATTACACCAGCTGTCTTTTCATGAAGCATTTTTCACGTGATATCTAATGTATGCTTGGCAGATGATAAACATCCAATAAATATTTGATGAATAGATGGTTTGACTGTTGAGCTATAGATTGCCACATTTGTTATTTAAGTTTTATAGTGAGAATTTGTCCATTTTATAATTTCTGTGGATATGAGTGAACCTTATCTGATGTAAAAAATGAGGAAGTACAAAACAGACCTGCCCCGTGTTTTACTTAACTTAAAGGTCAAGGATCATTAAAGTTTTGGCTAGAAATATTTTCAAAGTGGGTTTTTTTTTTCCTCTTTTAAATAAAAATTGCCTGAGATACATTGGATTTTGCTTTGGAAGAACACATATGTTCTTGCAACATGCGGCAGCAGTTCGCAATTCATGCTTCTTAGCCTTCCTGTTGATGTATGTTGTGTCCATGAATTCTTGCATGTTGGCAGAAGACTTGTAAGTTGTGGCTGATGCATGCTTTCTCGCCTCACCCCCATATCCCCCACACTTATCCTCTGTTGGTAATTGAAAGATAAATTATGCCAACATCCAGAAGATCTTTAATATTTGCATTAAAATCCTAGCATAATGTCACTTTGGAAAGAATAGGAAATTCACTTTCAGAATAGTGCAGGCTATGAACACTACTGTGCTTGGTGATTTCAAGATCAGAAGGTGAGTTGTTTTTGATTAGTCAGTAAACTCAGTATATTCTCCTTAAACATTGAAATGAGACTGTGACTGTTGGGGGGAGATTTCCTATAAGGAAGTGATTTTGTTTATAGTACAGTTTAGAACCCAAAATGTGTTTGAGATGATTTTCTACATGTGAATATGTGCAGTTGTTTTGATGTTGTTTCTGGTACTTAAACTTTCCTTAAAGCAGGATGGAGGTGGGAAGCAGTGAGATTTTGTATGTCTGTCAGAGGTATATTTCATCTTGTTGAGTTAGAAGCCATCAGTAATTGATCAGTTCAGAAATTCTGGGGTAGTAAGATATATTACCGCTCAACTAATCTTGATCCATGTCAGAATTCTTAGTTTTTAAAAATGTTGCAAGGTAAGGACTGCTCCTTAAACCCAACTTGAAAAGTCTACCATCAAGCCTATGTATTTAAGTTGATTTTATCATCTGAGGGAAAATTTGGATTTCTCAGTTATAATTGCATTTGAATGAAGATGCTGAATTAAAAGATCTCAAAGATTTCTTTTTAGATGAATAGCTACATGGTTCTCTGACATGATAACAGAAAGTAAGAGAGAAAAATTCTATTCTGGTGAAAAGAACTGTGGAACAGAGCTACCCTACTTTAATAATATGTGATGGATACAAGTGAATTAGGAAATTAGCATATAATATAATTTTTTAATTTATTGAATGTGGTTAAAAGTTTATGGTACTGAAAAATGATATCTAAACAGGAACGTTGTAGCATGGATTCCTCTTTCAATTTGAAAAAGTAAGGACACTACATTTATGCTATGCCAGATTTTGGAATTTAAAAAATGGAAACAAAGAAAATACATTGGTATTGACTATATCTCATTTTGCTTTATCTTGTTTACTTGACCAAAGTTTTAAATTTACACTCCGTTTTGTTGGAAGAGTATCAAAATCATCTTCAAGCTCTCCAAAGCCTGATTTAGATATTTCTGTGAAATGCTTAAAAGTGCTAAAACACAATTTCACATGCTGAGTAACAACAGTAATGAAAAGATTCTGATGGCATTCAAACATTTAAAAATATCCTGAAATACCAAACTCACTGCCATCGAGTATGATCCGATTCATAGTGACCCCTCCTTGGGTTTCTGAGGCAGTATCACTACAGAAGTAGATTGCCCAACCTTCCTTCCGAGTAGTGGCTTGTGGGTTTGAACCGCCAGCCTTCTGGTTAGCAGTCAAATGCCTTAGGCACTATGCTACCAGAGTTCCCTTTAAAAATATAGCCCTTTCTTTTTCCATTTTTTCTTTCCCAGATTTAAACATTCAACACAAGCTAAGTAGTGAGCATTCTGTTACATAATCTCTTTTCCTTGATTAGTCACTTTATTTGACTAATTATTTTTTTAAGATGGGAAACTAATTTATTCTTAGTAGCTGGAGTTCATTACTTCTGTTTGCTTGATACTGGAATTTATAGTAAAAGAATGTCCAAATGAAACAAAACATTTCCTTTAAATGTTTTATTTTCCAAAATATTTATATCTAAGAATTATCTTCTTGGCATTTTCCAGCAATACCAGTAGTGTCAGAGTAAGAGTCTTAAAAATAATTTCAGCTAAGTAGTGATATTCCTTTGAAATTTAGACTTATCGTTTGAGCATCAGTTTTATACTTTGGTCATATAAAATTAATAAATTGGATAGCCTTTTAAATATCAAAGATACTCAATTTTTTTTTTTAATGTTGAGGGAAAGTAAATTGTGTTTCGCAGTCTTTACCAGAATTCAGCCCTTCTCTTGCCTTTTTATGTACCTAATGAAATTTGCCGTTAAGAAAATGCTTCAGAACAGATGTTTGCAATTTCTGTACCTAAACCACTGTCTGCTAAGCCAAGTTGTGGTTAATAAAAGCCTTTTTTCTGAGATGCCATTGAATGGAGTTCCCACATTTCTTATACTGCTGGGAGTAAAAATACTGCACAGAAGTCAGCTTCATATGGCAGTGAACTGCTTCCCTTGGACATGTTTCTTGATAAGATAAAAACCCACATTGAAAATTTATGCTTAGTTTTTAGTATGTATCTGTGGTATAAAAGGAGCTCTGGTGGTGGCGTGCCTAAGGCATTTGACAGCTAACCAGAAGACTGGCAGTTCAAACCCACCAGCCACTCCTTGGAAGGAAGATTGGGCAATCTACTTCCATGGTGATACCACCTTAGAAACCCAAGGAAGGATCGCTATGAGTCGAATCCAACTCGACACAGTGAATATGGATTTTTTTTTTTTTGGTTATCTGTGGTAAAGGAAAGTCTGAGGTTTCTATTTTGTGAGTACAAGGAATAACTAGGATGCTAATAGTAGTAGGATTTTCACAAGGTATCATTATACTTATAATATGTGTGCATGTGTGTGCATACACATGTGCATATATATGCATATGTGTATACACATACATGTTTATACATGCATACACATGCATATATATGTGTACACATATACATAAACACTTTTTTTGGGGGGTACCACATCACCCAAGTACTATCTAATTTGTTTTGGTGCTAGGTGAGCTACTTGACCTCCTTAAAGACTTCATTCCTCTCACCTAGAGGATAGTTTTTGCAAGGCTTGGATTCTTACTTATTTCATCCAGGACCTCCCTGCTAGTAGTGCCTTTTTATACACTGTTGTATCGGGTAAAGATTTTTTTTCTAGTCAAGTGAAAACAGCCCTAGTTACAAACTCATCCAAGTAGTAGTTTTCATTTTTAAATACATGGTTTGACCAATAAATATTAAAAAACGAACATAAAATACTTGTCTTTTATTGTATGATTAAGAGATTTAAAAAAAAAGTACCAAATAATTTTTCAATCTTTAAATATGTTCTATATATAATATACATTATTATTATGACTATGTTAGTATTGCCTAATTATTAATAATGGATAAGTTCTAAGAACTGTATAGCAATAAAATAAAATTATACAGTACAGAAATAGGGACAAGTTTTCATTTATTTGAATTTGCTATTTTCAAAGGAGCTGGCTAGTAATTTAATATATTTTTTTAAACTTCTGAGCTTAGGTTCATAAAGCAGTCTTAAAATCCAAACCCAGAACTCAATAACAAATTGGTTTTAGTGACTTGGACATTTCTCGTGAACTCAGAAATATATCTTAACGCCACGACCAGAGTTTTTTTTAACTTGTCCCGGTACTGCTTCTCTTTGTTCCCATACCTGGAATGTAAAACACTTAGTCCAGTGATAGTATTTCTTGTGATACTTGTCTTCTACTGTTTTCATTATAGCTTTTGAGGAACTTGAAAAAGCATTGAGTACAGCCCAAAAAACAGAAGAAGCACGCAGAAAAATGAAGGCCGAAATGGATGAACAAATTAAAGCTATTGAGAAGACAAGTGAGGAGGAGCGCATCAGTCTGCAACAGGAATTAAGTCGAGTGAAACAGGAGGTTGTGGATATAATGAAAGTAAGAATAATTCTAGACTGAAATGGACTGTAACAATTTTTAAACTTAATTTTGATGTTTACCCCATCATCTTTGATTGTAGAGAAGAGTTCATTGTATTTTAGACCATGATGTTCAGGATATAGGAAAAAAGCAGTTTGGTGGAGAAATGAATTTAATGCTTAGATAATTTTTGGGTCCAGCTTTGCTTTCTGTCTAATGGGCCACATTATAAACTGAGATGTGCTTTCATTGTTTTGTAGCTTCTGCTCTAGGTCCTTAAAGGTAAGCTGCTTATTTAGCTGCTTCAGCAGGTATCCTCTGCAGAACCTGACCGAGTAGACAGTGACCTAATAGGTGTTTGAGGGAATGCAAGAGGGAGTGAATGAGGGGCTAGGTTGGCCCTCTCTAATTGTTTTAAAGGCTCATTATTATTACTTAGTGCTCTGGTTATTCTTCAAAGTACATAAAGACCTCAATTTCAAAATTAGATCTTGATAAAGTTTCTTTTAAAAGGCAGTAAATTAAAAAAAATTCTATAGATTTTCATTTTTTAGAAATGTGAACATGCCATTTTCAGGAACCATCCTTGCCCTCATCTCTCTTCTACATCTGTTTTTCCTTGCTTTGGTTTTTGCCTGTTTTTCCCCTTGTCATTTTTGCCCTTGTTGGCGCTAAGCCCATTTTATCCTGTTTCTTTACTAACTTCCCACTTATATTCTTGATACTTGATTATGGTCACTAAAGTGGATCAAGATCAATTACAGATTTGAATGCGTGAGGCTTAGACTTCAGAGTTGTAAAGTTTTACTACTCCCTGTAAGATACCTGTGCTTTTATTTATTATCACAGAATAGATATTATATAAATGATTTGATATACATGCAGATATAGTGGGGGATAAATTATATACTCTTTATACATTTTCTTCCTTCTGAACTATAGACAACTTGTATAGTAGAAATTATTTTTGACCAATTATTAGATACACAAGACCTTAATTATAACTGCTTGACTGTATTTTAATTTTTTAAAAAATTAGTCATATATAATAAAGAGTATCACCATGGACTGTAACATAAAGTTAATTAATAAATGATTTTGAAAGATGATAATATGAGCATATGTATAAAAATCAAAATATGAAAACATTACACTATTAAAAATAAGGTTTCCTCTCATTTTCACTCATTAGTTTCCCCAAAGAAAACCACTGTTTTCTCTTTTAATATCCTTTCCAGATATAGTCTCTGCTTGTTGTTGTTAGGTGCCGTTGAGTTGTTTCTGACTCATAGCAACCCCACGCACAGCAGAACGAAACACTGCCCTGTCCGCGCCAGCTCCACGATGCTTGCTATACTTCAGCCCATCGTTGCAGCCACTGTGTCAATCCATCTCGTTGAGGGCCTTCCCCTCTTTCGTCGACCCTCCACCTTACCAAAGCATGATATCATTTTCCAGGGAATGGATCCTTCTTACAGTGGGACCAAAGTAGATGAGAGAAAGTCTATCCATTCTCACTCCCAAGAAGGATTCCAGCTGCACTTCTTCCAGGACCGATTTGTTAGTTCTTTTAGCAGTCCATGGTACTTTCAGCATTCTTTGCCAGCACCACAACTCAAAAGCATCTACTCTTCTTCGATCTTCCTTATTCATTGCCCAGCTCTCACATGCATATGAGGTAATTGAAAATACCATGCCTTGTGTCAGGTGCACCTTAGTCCTCTTCAGCACTTGAAAGAGGTCTTTTGCAGCTGATTTGCCCAGTGTTATATGTTGTCTGATGTCTTGACTGCTGCTTCCATTGGTGTTGATTGTGGAACCAAGTTATATGAAGTCTTTGACAACTTCAGTCTTTTCTCCATTTATTATGATGCTGCTTATTGGTCTCATTGTGAGGATTTTTGTTTTCTTTATATTGAGATGTAATCCGTACTACAGACTGTAGTCTCTTTATCAATAAGTGCTTCAAGTCATCCTCACTCTCAGTAAGCAAAGTTGTGTTGTCAGCGTATCGCAGGTTGTTAATGATTCTTCCTCCAATTCTGATGCCACATTCTTCTTCATGTAGTCCAGCTTCTCAGACTATTTGCTCAGCATACAGATTAAATAAATATGTTGAAAGGATACAACCCTGACACACTCCCTTCTTGATTTTAAACCATGCAGTGTCCCCTTGTTCTGTTTGAACGACAGCCTCCTGGTCTATGTACAGGTTCCTCATTAGTACAGTGAAGTGTTCTGGAATTCCCGTTCTTCTCAATGTTATCCATAATTTGTTGTGATCCACACGATCGAATGCTTTTGCATAGTCAATAAAACACAAGTAAACATCTTTCTGGTATTCTTTGCTTTCAGCCAAGATCCATCTGACATCAGCAATGATATTCCTCATTCTACGTCCTCTTCTGAATCCTGCTTGCGTTTCTGGAAGTTCTCTGTCAATATGCTGCTGCAACTGTTTTTGAATTATCTTCAGTAAGATTTTACTTGGGTACGATATTAATGATATTGTTCAATAATTTCCACCTTCTGTGGGATCACCTTTCTTGGAAATGGGTACAAATATGGATCTCTTCCATTCAGTCAGCCAGGTAGCTGTCTTCCACATCTCCTGGCATAGCTGAGTGAGTGCCTCCAGTGCTGCATCTGTTGAAACATCTTAATGGATATTTCGTCAATTCCTGGAGCCTAGTTTTTTACCACTTCCTTCATTGCAGCTTCGACTTCTTCCTTCAATACCATTGGTTCTTGATCATATACCACCTCCTGAAATGAATGAACATCAGCCAGTTCTTTTTGGTACAGTGACTCTGTATATTCCTTCCATCTTCTTTTAATGTTGCCTGCATCATTCAATATTTTGCCCATAGAATTTTTCAGTATTGTAATTCGAGGCTTGAATTTTTTTCTTCAGTTTTTTCAGCTTGAAAAATGCCAAGCATGTTCTTCCCTTTTGGATTTCTAACTTCCTGGTCTTTGCACATGTCATTATAATCATTGATTTTGTCTTCTTGAGCTGCTCTGTGAAATCTTCTGTTGAGCTCTTTTATCTTGTTATTTCTTCCATTTGCTGTAGCTACTGTCTGTTCAATGGCACATTTCAGAATCTCTTCTGATATCTATTTTGGTCTCTTCTTCCTTTCCTGTCTTTAACGACCTTTTGCTTTCCTTGTGGATAATGTTCTTGATGTCATCCCACAATTCTAGTTTTCAGTCATTGGTGTTCAATTAATCAAATCTATTCTTTAAATGGTCTCTAAATTCAGGAAGGATATATTCAAGGTCATATTTTGGCTGTCATGTACTTGTTTAATTGTCTTCAACTTCAAGTTGAACTTGCATATGAGTAGTTGATGGTGTGTTCCACAGTCAGGTCCTGGCCTTATTTTGTCTGTAGATATTGAGCTTTTCCATCGTCTCTTGCCACAGATGTAGTCTGATTCCTGTGTACTCCATCTGGCAAAGTCCATTGTATAGCCGCCATTTGTGTTGTTGACAAAAGATATTTGCAATGAGTAAGTTGTTGATCTTGAAAAATTCAGGCATGTCATCTCCAATGTTATTTCTTTCACCAAGGCCAAATTTTCCAGCTACTGGTGATTCTTCTTTCCAACTTTTGCAGTCCAGTCTCCAGTAATGGTTAACACATCTTGATTGCATGTTTGGTCAATTTCAGACTGCAGAAGTTGAACAAAATCTTCAATTTCCTCATCTTTAGTTTTGGTGGTGGGTGTGTAAGTTTGAATAATAGTAGTATTAACTGGTCTTCCTTGTAGGTGTATGGATATTGTCCTATCACTGACATCATTGTACTTTAGGACAGATCTTGAAACATCCTTTGTGATGATGAATGGCACACCATTTCCTCTTTAATTTGTCATTCTCAGCATAGTGGATCATATGGTTCAGAATGGCCAAAATGATCCATTTCAGCACACTGATGTCTAGGATATCAATCTTTCTTTATGTGTTCCATTTCATTTTTGACAACTTCCAATTTTCCTAGATTCATATTTCGTACATTCCATGTTCCAGTTACTAATGGATGTTTGCAGCTGTTTCCCTTCAGTTTCTATTGCGCCACGTCAGCAAATGGAGGTCCTGAAAGCTTTGCTCTGCATGTGGTTTTTTATTTTTTATAATCTTCTCTTTAACTTTTGCTTAACACAAAAGATAACATGTTACATCCACTGTTCTATATTTTATTTTTCCACTTAATTTTCTGTGTTGAAGGTTATTTCTTTTTTCACTGATTATGAGTTGACCATTTGTTTTAAAGGCTGTTTGAATGTTCCATAATTCTACTAATGGATGCTTAAGTTCCTTTCATTTTTTTTGCTATTACAAGTTATGATTAAGGAAGATTAAAACTTCCCATCCAAGAACAAAGCTATACTTTATACTTCTGAATTAATAGTACATACCTGGGAAGGTATGGTACAATTAGATTGGTGTAGCCAGGCAGCTTTACCAAAATAAAGTGCCTCCCCTATGAACAGCCTTATTCCCATTTCCTTAATCATAT